TGAGGCCGCGGCATCACAACGGTAGAGCGCTAGCGCTCACATATGCTACAGCTGGGCTGTCTATAGTTAAGTATTCTTTGCTTTATTGGGTAACAAGTTACTTCTTAGATACAAAACTTATGAAGTAAAGCAAATAAGCTAGAAGGCTGAATGCCAACTGACGCCATCTTGCCACTAAGGCATCTGTTTCCTAATCAGGACACCATACTTTTTTGATATGTGCGATACGTATTCTATTAGCAATCAAGGTTCGTTTTCGCAACGAATTTATGTGATGATACGTGACATGGTTAAGTGGCAGGTGACCCTAACCCGTTTGTCGTGATTTGATGACGTAATCTGATCACTATAAGTATGTTTGTGTAACTATATCAAAAAGCGTTAAATACAATCAATTTGTCCAAAGAATTGTGGAAAGATAATAGTGCTACTTCTGTTGTTCGAAAATATTCTAAACTATACTAAAAATCACTAAAAATCAATTTAGTCCTGTCAAGTACTACTTTTTCAGAATACGAAACGTTGTTTGGACAGGACTAAATTAATTTTTAATGACTTTAGTTTAGTTTAGAGAGTTTTCGAACAACAGAATTAGCACCAATGTGTGGTTTTTCTTCTATAACATCTTTTTGTTTTTGATTTTGTTTTGATCTCCCTGACATTGACTGTGACATTCATACACTTACGTCTTTTATTAATAATAATAATAACTTCACACATCTCACACACACGGCCGTCTGATCCCAAACTAGACAGAGCCTGTACTATGGTAACTAGACCGCTGATAAACATACTTATAAATTTTTAAATACATACATATTATAGATAAATTACACCCAGACACAGAAAAAATGACCGTGCTCATCACACAATATTTGTCCTGGTTGGGAATTGAACCCACGACCTCCGGCTTATCAGTCAAGGCCACTAACCACTAGACCAACAGGCTCGTCTCCGACAGGGTAGATAGAGATGTATTATAGTCCATCAACGTCGTGCGCGACCGTCCTGCGGGGTGACAGACGGTGGCGGGGACGAGGTACTCAAGATGTCAGCGGGTAGCGGGTGGTGTAGCGGGGAAGGGAATCGTGTGTAGCCGTGTGCTAGAATGACGCGCTACCTCGCCCCCGCCACTGTCTGTCACCCTGCGGGATGGTCGCGCACGAGATTGCCGGGTCATAGACGCCAACATTTTGTCGGCTATGATTTTAGTCCCACACGTAACAGAGGGCAAGCTTATTTCTGTCAACCGAGTAAATTTATTTCTAAATTAACATGATTATGTATTTCTAAATATATTAATATCATATTATAGATAGATTACTCCCCGACAAAAGAATTGACAGTATTTATCGCACAAGTTTGTCCTTTGTGGGGTTCATTAACTGCTAGACCTACAGGGCATCCTACTTAATTTATTTTAGTTAGATATTTTTCGATCCCATTTTATATTTATTAACAATGGGTTGCATTTGCTATTTCCATCGAATCCCATGGTACACATGGTCAACATGTATTCATTCAGAAGAAAAGTGTTTTCTTTTATCAAACATTTAAAAAAGCAGCGTGTGGGCTACGCACTTACACAGCGTCAACAAAAGTTGTGGTTTCAAAATATTTAAAAGATGCTTAAAAGATTTAAACTTATTATAAACCGAATGAGTTAGTTGAGAATCGAGGAGAATATAGGATTTTGTTATTTTTAGCGGAGATGGACATTATATGGAGTTAAACTATAAAAAAATCAAATTTCTTAATTAATATAACTTTGCATTCTTCCTGACGTCAGCGTTTAGTCAGTATTTAGATTTAAGGTCAATAAACACAATTTTGATAAACTCAAGTGACCTCAGAACTTCCGTAGAAGATTTATCTTTAGCTTATGATCATATTCGGCTTCACTGTAATACTCACAATACATCCTCTCTCTTTTATTTTGGTGAGTACTGTCACCCATTGGCAACTCCAGAGGCCAATGTGTGTTGTCGCCCTATGGGTGCCCCCAGAAATTATCCCATTACCATACATCTATTAATTATCCACTGCTGGACATAGGCCTCTCCTTAGAAAGGAAGTTTTGGCCTACTATATCATTCTGGCCAGACGGGTTGGTATAGGGTTTCTGTCAAGTTATCCTTAGTCTGTTCTTACGACACCCACGGGATAAATAGGGGTGGTGACATTCCGTATTCTTCCGTATTCCAGAAATTATGGTCTCCAATAGCTGTACTCTTTCGGTGAAATGCAAAGAAAAATTTGCTAATTATAAACACAATGTATAAACACTATGTATACGAAGACAATAAAGATAAAATTATAAAAAAAAGAAAAATGTTTTTGATTTCTTTTCTTCCTATTTTATTTGATGTAATGAAATGAATGACATTTCATTAATTTGAATTTCGCACATCGAAGTGACATGTGAACTATGATTCAATGGCAGATGACGCTTAGATTATTTTGTGCATTTTATTGTTATAAAAACTTGTAGAGAGATAAACCGAAGGATACGATTGAGGAAGCGATATTAGTGAACTTTAAATGTCGTTTCTTTGTATTTTCAGGTGAGATAGAAGTGTAAAAGGCGTATTAAATAAAGCAGAACTTTGTATTTTCTGAGAAACCATTTATTGTTTATTTTGAAGATCCTCAATAATATACCTTATACGTATAATTTCGTTTGGTCGAATATCGATTAGTAGATAGACAATATTATTGGTTTCAATAGAAAGATACGTCAGCCTTAACTTTATCACTACGTTACAATTTACGTCCATATTTTTATTGATCTTTGTGACAGTAGATAGATGAATAGCAGCATAACCGTTTTAGTGTTATGATAAATCGATGCTATTGTGTTTTGAATTATTTATCTTTTGCTGTATATCGGAGAGATGTGAAAGGTAAATCTATTGTTCAACGATACTATAAGTTGTCCTAGTAGTTCCCCGCAGTTTTACCTGCGTTTTTAGTCACAGCTCTGCTCCTCATCCGTGTTAGATTTCGTACACAATGTACGAGATGATGAATTTTCATTGATTTATTTTTGCGTAAATTTTCATATTTTTATGATAATCTTCTGTTAAGTCTGTAAGTCTGTTAAGTCTGTATATAAAATATATTAGGTATTATTTATATTTTAATTAAATAAGTTTTATAAATCGGCGTCGGTAGTAACTACATCATCATTCATAACTCTTGAACTGATCATCATCAACAGCCTTTACTAGACCACTGCTGGACATAGGCCTCTCCTTAGAAGGGAGGTTTTGGCGTACTATACCACGCTGGCCAGACGGGTTGGTATAGGGTTTGTTTGAAGTTTTCCTTCTCTCTGCAGTGCTGTTGTCCTGCGTAGTTTGCTCCCTTAGTCGGCTCTTACGACACCCACGGGATGAATAGGGCTAGTGACACTCTGTATTCTTAATCCGTCACCACACGGACTCCTTAAACTGATAGATACCTAAATGTTAATGTTTTTGGTCGGAAAGGTGACTTGAAATCTATTCAACCGTTTTAAAATCATCGGCTTCTTGTTATGTATTTATTTATAAAAAAAGTATATAAGTACTCTATCAGTCAATCTAGCATTCATAGTGCATTGACGGGCCTGTTGGTCTAGTGGTTAGTGCCCCTGACTGTTAAGCCGGAGGTCGTGGATTCGATTTCCATCCAAGACAAATATTGTGTGATGCGCATGATCATTTGTTCTGTGTCTGGGTGTAATTTATCTATAATATGTATGTATTTAAAAATATAAGTATGTTTATCAGCAGTCTGGTCACTATAGCACAGGCTCTGCCTAGTTTGGGATCAGACGGTCCTGTGTGAGGTATATTATAGTACAAGTTCCGCTAAGTTTGAGCCTAGATGGCGTTGTGTGTCTGATGATCTAAATATTCTATATAATTTGCCTCACAAAATGTGGGTTATTTGTTTCAAATAAAAATGAACTATAAATATTAGAAATAAGGTATCATATATTTAGACTAATAAAGCAGCCTTGTACGTTATAAGGTTTTATTTATCAGCATGGAGAGCAGAAGGAAAGCCCACAGAATACACACACACACACACACACACACACACCTACACACCTAAACGTAAAAAACAACCACCTATTCATTATCTCATCTACAGCCTTTAATAGTACTCTGCTGGACATAGGCCTTTCCTTAGAAAGGAGGTTTTGGCCTAATGCAGTGCTGTTTGTGTTTCTGTTCCTGCGTTGTTTGCTCCCTTAGTCGGATTTTACGACACCCACGGGATGAGTACGGGTTGTTACACTCTGTACGTACTAATTAAATATATATTAAAGAAGTGTTCCTAAAATTGTTGCTAAGGGACGAACTATTTGGACTTCAATTTTAACTACTGATTCTCTGTGAGGTGATCCATCACTCCAGTCGAGGCGACCCATGTGTGTCAAAGTATGGCTCCCCCCACGATATTATAACATACGTTTGCCTTAAAGCGTAGTGGTGTACGCAGTTATCTCGTTCGCTCCTTACATCGTAAGTCACTTTGTATGATCCACAAATTGTAGTTTTGAGTCTGGGTGTTCTTTGTGTACGTTTCATGTATGTCTGTAAAGTCCCCCGCGACACTGGATACACTTATTGCGGGAATTGTCTTTAAAAAAAGCTAACTCTTACAGTATACCTATGATTTGTGATTTGCTGTTTTCTCTAGCAGATCCTTGAGGAGGAGAAGAGAGCCTAGTCTTAACACTGGTTTTCTGTGAAGCCGTGGTATGATATTGTTCAGGAAATGTATTTTTTTATGGTGGAAATAAAAAAAACAAACGTATTCGTTTTTAATGGCTTGTATATAGTTTTAAAAATCTTATTATAAACATATTAAAAATTACTATAAGTCGTTGACTTTATACTAAGCATAGAATAAAAATATCAACTCTCTGAGTACATCTATGCTGTGTATAAGTAATTTATTTTCTTAGAGTTAATATAAAATTTGTAAAAAAATATTAAAATTATTTATTATGGACAATAACTCTGTCTTTCGAGATCACTCCTTAGCTTCCAATATTGTCTTATCACATATTCAGCACCTGGAAATAACAATTATAAATATTAAGCTCATAATTTGGCGTCAATGTTGAATGCCGGACGAATGCTTATGCAATATGAAAATTGTTATTAATTTCTTCTTATCCTTGCTTGAAATTAAGTTTAATAAAAACAACCAACCAACCAAACCAAACAAACAACCAAAACAATAAGCATTATACCTTATACAAAAGCAACATACATAAGTTGAATTTAAGTAAAAACATAATTCAACGACATCTAGTATTTTTTACCAAAACTACTTCATCGACTAGCCAGTTACATTTTTACAGTCATGCTTTGCTCACCGATATCTAGATGTCGCTAATGTGTCCGCCGCACCTCCCGTTCTGCCTTGTCTTGCCGGTTGTGGTCATTGATCGTGGTGACATTGCCAAACAACACTTTCGTTGTCATTTGCTGAAATGGAAACATAATAATTTTATTATTAAAATAATTCATATACATATGATATAACTGATATAACTATCAAACTTTTCTGTCATCATCGTCACCAACAGGCAACAGTCTATTACAGACCACTGCTGGACATGGGCCTCTCCTAAGAATGAATTTTTTGATCTACTAGGTACACCGCGCGGGCCATGCGGGTTGGTATAGGGTTTGTTTCAAATTTTCCTTCTTTTTGCAGTGCTGTTGTCCTGCGTAGTTTGCTCCCTTAGTCGACTCTTACGACACCCACGGGATGACTATGACTGTGACTATGGGTGGTGACACTCCGCATTCTTAATCCGTCATCACACGGACAAATGATTCAATTGAAGTAGATGATATCTGACGCAACAGTAGTAGGTCCATTATTTATTTTTATCCTGTCCTTGCCCTCCTCAAAGGGAGGCCTCTCTCCCTTCCACATTGTCCATTGTCAGTAAAAAATTTTTGACCGATTGAGAGTTGTGACTGTAACATACATAGTAAATTTGTATATGTATTGTAACCGTATATCACACTAATATAGCGTATAATGTATCATTTATTCATGGATGGATGGGTGGATGGACGGATGGCGTAGTGGCTTGAGTATCGGATTGCTACGCCAAGGGTCGCCAATACTAGTAATTTCGGTTGCTAGTGAATCTTAAAAAAAAAGGAAAAATAATAATTGCTGAACCAATTTTAATAAAATCGGGTATGGAGGTAGCTGACACCCTGGATTAACATACAAGGTACTTTGCAGTGTACTTGTACACTATAATGTAGCGGTCCCTTGAGATGTTTCAGTGTATCTAATAAACTGCGGATAACACCGCCGGGCGCAACTAGTTTAAGCATAACGTATTCCAGATATATTGACTTCCATGCGCCAAATTTGTTTGAAAAAGGATACAAAGAATTTTCTTCGCCTATCAGAATAAAGAAGATATTGGAACTGCGTCGAATATGGGTGCTATATGTATGTACATACTACATACATACACAACATACAAACTGTAGCAATTTGCCAATGCTACGTAATCATTCAAGGCTCCAGTTTCAAGTGCTCCAGACCGTATCTACTTCAATCACAGGCGTTTAGCTTAATTGAAGAGCTTCATAGGAATTTTCATGTTTATATTATAAATGTCAATGTGAGTGTGTTTGTTACACTTTTAAGCCTAAAATACTTAACCGATTATAAAAATTCTTTCACCAATGGGAAGCTACATTATCAGTGAGTAACATTACCTTTTTACCTTTTTACCGCGATAACTGAAATAAACGTGGGCGGAGCCGCAGGCAAAAGCTAGTAAGCAATAATCCAAATTACAAGGAGGATGTGAATTAAATGTTTTAATGTAAAAGTAATGGGCACACTGCTCACCATAGTTGAAGAAATCGTGGCAGAGCCATGCTTCGGCAGTGATAAAACTTTCTTAAACAATATTTACGTCGCATTATACCGAGTGAACAAGGTTACCTCAGTTCCAAACAACCCCCTTTCGGATTAATTTTTGGAGGGGGGGAGACCTAAAGGCCTGCAACTCTCTTGTACCTCTTGAGTTGGAGATTTCCATGGGCGAAGGAAGTCGCTTTCTGTCAGGTGACTTGTTTACTCATTTGTCCCCCATATTATTTAAAAAGATGCTATCAATAAAACTTTTTTAAGTACCAGATCATATTCAAAACGCGCGATCCTTGCAATTTCGTAAATCATAAAATAAGGGTGTACGTCATCTTAGACGTCGTCTGACGTCATTTAAGAATTTTCCTCGCGTTTGGAAGGCAATAAATTATCACTCAAAGGGATTTAGTTCGCAATGTTCTTAAAGAATCGTTTATGAAAAAGTGATTGGTAGTATAACTGCCATTCGTCTTTCCTGATGTCTCCATAAGCGTGAAAGGCTCAAGAACCATTTGCATCTTCTATACCTATTCATCCCGTGGGTGTCGTAAAAGGCGACTAAGGAAGCAAACTACGCAGGACAACATCAGTGCAGAGAGAAGGAAAACTTGACACAAACCCTATACCAACCCGTCTGGCCAGCGTGGTGTAGAAGGCCTAAACCTCCTTTCTAAGGAGAGGTCTATGTCCAGCAGTGGACTAGTAAAGGCTGTTGATGATGATGATGATGATACCTATTAAATGAGTTGCCGTGACAGTCTGATTCATCAACGCACACATTTTTCACATTCACACAACGCCATCTAGTCCCAAACTAAGCAGAGCTTGTACTATGGCTACTAGACAACTGATATAAATCATCATCAACAACAGCCTATAACAGTCCACAGCTGGACATAGGCCTCTCTTTAGAAAGGAGGTTTTGGCCTATTATACCACGCTGGCTAGATGGGTTGATATAGGGTTTGTTTCTAGTTTTTGTTCTCTTTGCAGTGCTGTTGTCCTGCGTAGTTTTCTCCCTTAGTCGGCTCTTACGACACCCACGGGATGAATAGGGGTGGTGACATTCCGTATTCTTAATCCGTCACCACGCGGACTTATATAAATACATAATGTATACTTTTTCTTTTTGTAAATACATACATATTATATTAATAGTAATTATAAAAATAATAATGTACTCTCTCAGTAATAACTTATAGGTTAACATGACTCCCTCGGTGGTGCAGCGGTAGCGTATGTGACTGCTGTCGTGAGGTCTTGGGTTCGATTTCCGGGTCGAGCCAAATGTTTTTATGATCTGCAAATGTTTGTTTCGGAGTTTGGATGTTTCCTATGCATAATATGTATATACAAAAAAAGTATATTACTATTCTAACAGTCAGTCTAGCTTTCATAGTAAACAAGCAGACGTAGACAAGCAATTTTAAGCCCTAATTACTTTAATGTAAGTGCTAGTGTTATGTAAAAATATAAATCCTTTGAGTAGTTGAATCTTATTGAATATGGTAATTGAAATCTCGAGAGTTCGTTCGTTCTAAGTAAGTAGGTAACGAACCAGTTTAGTTCGGCTAGTAAAGGATCCCTTTTAGTATAATCACTAGCAATATAATATATTTTTTTAAAACGATTTGAAATAGAGATTTTTTTAGAGAACATTCCTTCAATAAACTGATAACAAAATTTTTGACCAGCATAATTTATGTGCAGTTTTAACACAATACTATTTACACTACACGGTTGGCGTAGTGGTTTAAGCGGTCACTACGCCGCTTCCTACTACGCTGAGTGTTGTGGGTTCGATCCCCACGACGAGTGGGACGACACTTTGTGTGATCCACAAATTGTTGTTCTGAGTCTGGGTTTGTGTCTTAAAAGTTGTCTTTAAAAAAATCGGTTGCCTGTAAAGTTGGTTTACTGACGATAGTTGAACGTGACAACGTCATAAGAAAATACTGATAGAATGGTTGCATTTTTCAAAAATGTATTATTGTATACGAGTAGCAGCTGTCCACGCGGACGCATTGCTCACTCAAGTAGGAGAGAGACAGATGTCGAACGCTGCCGAACGCGGAGGCAGATTGTGCCTCTTTGTCACTCGTTACGCGCTCTCGCTTGCACTTCACGCCTTAAATGGAACGCCTCAGAGCGAGGTAACGCCGCATGAGTCATGTTTTTTCGTGCGTGCAGCCGGCTCCATCGAATTATAAGACGTTGTCACGTCAAAAAAACACTCTCTTCTTCCTAGCTTCACTTTAGGATGGGATTGGCTTTCCTTATTTCACGGCGTTAAGATATCAAGATATTCTATTAAGGGTTGTGGGATCGGCTAAATTCTACTTCTTAAGAAGCTTTGTCATATTGGTCCAACATGTCAAAGAAGGTCATCCTCGGCCTCTGCTGTCTTCGGGGAGGCTTAGAGCCGTCCTCCACTGCTGGACATAGGCCTCTCCTTAGAAAGGAGCTTTTGGCCTCCTATACCACGTTGGGCAGACGGGTGGATTTTCCTTCTCTTTGCTGTGCGTCTACACCCTGATGAATTGCAATAAACTATAGTCTTTATTTGTATTTTTATACCCTTAAAAAAACTCTCCCAAATAAAAAAAAAGAGAATTTCTTCAATTGCTTCATTCATTATTTAGTTCTAAGGTAATAAACATAAAAAAATAGATAAGATAAGCTAAGTTAAGATAAGATCCTCCTTTATTTGAAGTCGATTGAAAATGCATTGTTTCTCTAAACCTGTGTGAAAGGAGCGTGTTAAAACAGACTCAATTAGGTCCACCATTAGCTGAGCTTCAGAGATAATATGACCTTAAGATCAATGGCCATTTGTTAACTGTCGATCGAATATTCTACACTCCTCGTCTTATTTGAATATGTTGGTAAAGGTGAAGTAAAACAAATATTTATTATAAGACCTATTTTCATTGCCACCGTCAGAATCATCAATTCAGATCGCCAACAAACGATACACATTTTTTTTCAATAATTAAAAAATATACAAAAACATGTCTTACGCTCATTAAGTTATATAAATCACAACTAACAAAAGTAAAAAATAAAAAAACCGGTCAGGTACGAGTCGGACTCGTCCGCCGAGGGTTCTGTCCCTAACCAGATATTACGTAGATTTTCGCGATAATTTGTTACTTACAAGTTTTCGCGAAAATCGAAATTTGCCCATATCTTTTTTTTGTGTTGACTCAGGACCTTGATTTTTATACACCTAATAGGGACCATGGACCCTAGATCTGGTATAAATATCAACTTGCTAGGTCTACCCGTTCCTGAGAAAATCGGTGGTGACAGACAGACAGACAGACATCTTATAAGGGTTCCTTTTTTTACCTTTTGAGGTGCGGAACCCTGAAACGAAGGTATAATAATGTAAAGAAAATGATAACTATTAGGTAACAAAAGAAAGTAAAAAAAAACCACATATCATCAAATTATTCAAATCCAAGTCATGTGCCAAATATAAAAAATATATATGTTATTAATACAAAGACGTCGCCTTAACGTTATACTTCCAAAGCGGATCCAGTCGTTGCTCCACATTCAATAATTACACTCGGTATTCGGTTCAACGAAATGATTCGAACTCACAACATCATTTATAAGTTATGGAAACTGGATCTCGTCATTTATTAACGTCTTCATTCTACTTATATATGCTTTAATTCGTTTTATGGTTATTGTTCAGTGGAAAGATTGTTATGGGGTGATTAATATGGCTGTGCCTTTGTGTAGGACTTTCCATTCTCGAATTTAAAGTTGATTATGCGAGTTTTAGGGGAATCAAGAGCATTTCATTTGTCATACATAAGTGCGTGCCTTCCTCTAGAAAAGGGGGACGTTTAGGTCTCCATAAAGTTCATTTTCTCGTTGAAAATAACAATTTTTTTATTGATCTCGGAGGCTCGGAGGATATTTATAAGTCTGCTAAAAAGTTAGGTAATATCTGATTGTTTTCAACATGCACAGGTATGTTCAGAGTATTTGATATAATTGTTTACTCATGCGAAAATCCTTTAAAACTGGCTTCGCAACGCTCTTTATTTCATACATTATGTATGATTAAACATATTTAAGTTAAATAATCGACTACATATTCGGACAAAATCACAGTAGACTGTGATTGCTATTTTTTCTTCCTGTTATAGGAAAATTAGGGTCTGAAAACAGTTTATTGGCAACAACGCGTGTGTAAGTAGCAACCCTAACCTATGTAGGAAAAAATCTAATGATAAATCACAGTCCACTATCATTTTACCCATGCCTACTATAGACCACACAAATGGGTCGACCACAGTGACACGACGGCTTTACAGAAACGGGTGTTAGGCAATTCTTTTGTTGTCTTTTAATGAGTGACTGACGTTACCGAGATCCAAACAAGGGGAGGGCCTGATTCCTGTACTCAAAAGTTGGCAACGCCCTTATGACTCTAAAGTTGAGGTTGTCTATGGGCTAAGGCATACCATCAAGTGACCCTTCTGCTCGGGGTGTCTCGCGACCCGTTAGCACGGTACTATTATAATACAGTACTCCAACTTCATACAAACGGACGAAACGCGAGCTATACCTACGCGCCTCGATCTCGGGGTGCGCTCGGGGCGCAGACAGTCACGGCTGTAACGCAGTGTCGAACGGACTGTGTGTTGTTTTTTTAACAATAACCGCGCGATTTTTTCTCTAAAAATCAGTTAATATGACGAGTAGGAAATATTGTGCTGTTTTTGGTTGTATGAATTCGTCAATAACGCATCCAGACATAAGTTTTTTTTAAATTACCTGGAAACTCTGAAAGGTAAGACTATAAAATAATTTTACTTACCTACTAGTAAGTACGTACATAATGTACATAATGTGTACATAACGTAGGTACATAATGTGTGTCTTTTTAATGGATAAGTATTTCCTTTTATCTCACGAAAAAAAAGGTGTTTGGATTAATAAATAAAGCGAATAGAGTAACGGAAAATTATTGAGACGAGTGAAATAGGTAGTGTATCAAAATGTATAGGGAGTGAATCTAAAAACAACACGCATTTTTATTGAACACTTCCTATTCAATATACAAAGTATTTCATTTATTTACGAGTATATAAAAAGGATATTTACAATAACAAATCTAAATAGAAACAGAAAGTAGGCAAATATAATTAAAATGCTGGAGACGGGCAGCCCTAACGCATGTTTACGTACCGCGCGGCTGTAGGCATTTATTTCTATCATGCGGCCGAGTTACAGTACTGTATTATAATTTTACCGTGCCGTTAGTGGGTTCAATTCCCGGACCGGGGAAAATTTTAAAAGGGTTTTCTGAGATTTTGCTTAGCCGGCTATAAAAGGAGTAACGTGGCTATTTTTCAGCCACGTTACTCCTTTTATAGACAGCTACTACGTAGTAAAATATTATCAAAAAAGAAAAAAAAATAATAATAATTAACAAACAGACAGACAGACAAAAAAAATTAAACTGGTTTTTAGGCATAGGTATCGTGCAAATAACCATGTGAGCATAAAAAAACTTCAATTCTATTTATTTGTATATTTAAGTATGTTTATCAGCAGTCTGGTTACTTTAGTACAGGTTCTGCTTGTTTGAAACCAGATGACCGTGTTTGAGATTTGTGAAGGTATTATTATTAATTAAAACATGCTGTGAGCTTCATTTCTTTTTCTGTAATAGGGTTATCTGATAGTAAGTGATTATCGCAGCCCATGGACATCTGGAACTCAAGAGATATAACTTTTTGGCACCTTTTGTGTTTGTTTAACAGAATTAGGGCAGAGGGGGCGTTTGGGTCTCTGGTAAATAACCGTGGGATCACTCCGGTCGAGTCCAACCTATATGGCTCTCCCACTGTATATAGACACGTCGAAAAATGAGTGTGTTTATGTAGACACCGTCACATTTACAATCAATCAAAATCATCATCAACAACCTTTAATAGTCCACAGCTGGACATAGACCTCATCTTAGAAAAGTTTTGGCGTACTATACCACGCTGGCCAGACGGGTTGGTATCGAGTTTGTTTCAAGTTTTCGTTCTGTTTGCAGAGCTGTTGCACTGCGTGGTTTGCTCCCTTAGTTATCTCTTACTGCACCCACGAGATGAATAGGGGTGGTGACATTTCAAATTCTTAATCCGTCACCACACGGGCAAACGATTACTCGTTTGATTATGTATAAAAAAATAACGGGTTTATCTACACGCAATAAACGTCAGTGAGTTATTGATATTTAAGCTCGTTTTTTATGAATTTCTTAATAGGTGTACTGATTCCTCTGTCCAACCCCTTTTTCTTAACGAGGCGTTTAGTTTCGCAATTCGCTCCAATGACGCGAGTCGACCATTCACGCTCCAATTATTAAGGGACTTCAGTGTCCTTGCGAATCGATTTGCCCCCGGACTATTTCGGACTACGGATATGTGAAAAGCGCTTTGAAAATCAGTGAATTGGAGCGGCTTTCATGAATGTGCGTTTGGTGCTTTCGACTTGTTGAATAGAAAAAACTGGCCAAGTGTGAGTTGTACTGGTTTGGAGATGGTTTCGTATTTTTTTTTAACTAATCTGAAATAAGTTTTTAGTTAAAGAGCATGCTCTCCCATATATTCTAACCGCAAACGTAATTTGTACTCACACTATTGGAACAATTACCATGTTATTTTTAGACCACTAAGTTTTTAACGATTTCTTGTTATATATTTACAAAGAACTATTTTCTTAACTTTTACAAAAAAATAAACGTTTTTATTTTTAGAGATAACGGATGAGAATGGTCAATTTTCAATTATTTTCTAAGCAACTTTACAATTATAAAAATGATATTCGTGACCCTCACAAGGAATCTTTTTGTTTGGTATGTCACACAGTAGATACAGCCAGCATTTTTTGACGTGACAACTTCTTATAAATTGGTTTGCCGGGTGACACTTCAAGAAACTGCGTTACGCTCCGCTCACGTTATGCGCTCACAATGAGAGCGAGTGAGAGGCACACGTCCCTTCCAATCGGGCATGGTTAGCCCGCCTAAGAGCGAGAGAGACAGACATAGTCGTTGTCACGTAAAACTTTCGCCCGTATACCGACTTTACAGGCAACCAATTTTTTTTATTTTCCTTTTTATTTTAATCCCAAACAGTGAGCCCTCATTAAAAACGTTTATAGAAATTGCTATATGTACTAAATTTCTACCTCATTAGTCGTCGATTGATTGTGACAGATTAACAGAAATGGTCTGCTCCGGAGTTAAATGGATTCGACGATAGTAATGGTGACTAGTGTGCTTATTTGCCCCTAAAACAATAACAAAAACGCCGCGGTTAAAAACTTTGCTGTCATCATCAACAGCCTTTACTAGTCCACTACTGGACATAGGCCTCTCCTTTGAAAGGAGTTTTGGCCTACTAAATCACGCGGATCAGACGGGTTGGTATAGGGTTTGTTGTTTTACTTCTCTTTGCAGTGCTGTTGTCCTGCAAAGTTTGCTGCCGACACCCATGGAATGAAGAGGGGTGGTGACATTCTGGATTCTTAATCCGTCATCACACGGAAGTTGCTGTCATATTACATTGCATTTTGAAATGATTCAGTCTGACACGATTTACTCGTAAGAATCAGTTGACGTCATCACACTGAAAACATCCAAGCGCTTGTGACGTAAGAATTTGTAAAGTATGATTTATTCTTTAACAGATTTGAGTTTCAGGAAATTCTACATGGGTAATGAAACAGTAACATGGTTAAAGAACAGAGGCTTGGGGCCAAGTGGTAACCTAGTAGGTTAGCACATTGCGAAGTTTAGCAATCCTAGCCATGCCAACCTATAGATGGGTGACAATTCTTCACATCACATCAACAGCCTTTATTAGTCCACTGCTGGTCATAAGCCTCTCCTTAGAAAGGAGGTTTTGGCGTACTATACCACGCTGGCCAGACGAGTTGGTATAGGGTTTGTGTCAAGTTTCCCTTCTTTTTGCAGTGCTGGTGTCCTGCGTTGTTTAGCGCCCTTAGTCGGCTCTTACGACACCCACGGGATGAATTGGGGTAGTGACATTCCGTATTCTTAATCCGTCACTACACGGACAATTCTTAACATATTGAAATCCCTCTGTGCCTCAGAAAGCACGTTCAGAAGTCTGATAAGGATCTCATACGAACATTTGTAGCGAACTTTACGGTAAATTGGAGTCCTAAAAAGTCCAATTACAGTCTATCTACACAACTTCGATATTGCCTAGTACCTACCAGATGGCAGCAAATCCACTAGTTGACTAAAAGCCGACCCTTACCTAGTTTAGGAAAAAAGGTCGGAAGATGATGACCATAGTTAAAGAATATGTTGACCACGACATACCTGATATTTTCCATTGCTGGTGACGCTAGGGGGTGTATAGCCCCTCCCCCCGTAGCCCTGCCCAGGTCCTCCGTGGTACAGCGTGTTGTTATTCGCATCCCGAGTTGTCGCGGTTGCGTATGAAGACTTGCAGTTTTGAGACATCGTGTGGACCTGTAATAGATAAGAAACCATATATCAGAAATGTAAAATGTGGACGAAGCCGTGACTAGTCAGGCAATCCCGTAATACCCATATGAGTAAAACCGTATGTCATCATCATCATCATCATCAGCCGATCGCAGTCCACTGCTGGACATAGGCTTCTCCCATTGCACGCCACTTAGATCGATTTTGGGCTTCTCGCATCCAGCTCCTGCCAGCCATCTTGCGCAAATCGTCACTCCACCTGGCCTGTGGGCGTCCTCCACTACGTTTGCCGAGACGCGGTCTCCACTCAAGAACTCGTTTTCCCCAACGGTTATCGGTTCTGCGGCTAATATGGCCAGCCCACTGCCACTTCAGCTTGCTGATCCGGTACGCTATGTCGGTGACCTTAGTTCTCTGCCGGATCACCTCATTTCTGCTGCGATCCCTTAGAGAAACGTACCGTAACCGTATGTATTTCATGAATAACTCTGTCTGTCTGCTAATGTTTTTCATGCTCAAGCGCTTTAACCCCCTGAACAGATTTTGATGAATGTGAAATTGTTTACCTAAATAGGATCTTGAAGAAGGACTTTTTATCGCGACAGTTAAATTTGAAGCGATGAAATCTATACGACTATAATAAAGCTAACAAATTTCCTGTTTGTTTCTATAAAAGCAGTCATTTCTAGAACATCGTGTTTAAATAATGCTTTATACATTGTATAAAGTATTTATTAAGGACATCAAGCATTTTTTTTTAAAGACAACTCCTGCACTAATATATCCTAATAATAATATATCCTGTGTCGCGGATGACTTTACAAACATACATGAAACGGACACAAAGAACACCCACACTCAGAACAACAATTTATATGTAGATCACACAAAGTGACGTCCCGTGTGGGGCACAGTAGTGACCGTTTAAACCACTACGCCATGCAGTCACTTTATGACTCTCTATGACGCTCTATGAGTCAGCTATGACTCTTAGGACTGGAGTAGTGATAGTAAATGCAGGTGAAATGGAAACGGAATACGTACCAAAAGTATGTAAGTATGGGAAACGAACTGAAAGGTTACACAAAGTTCTAATCCGATAAATAATGAAATAAAATATAATATATATCACACATCTCACACTATGCCGTCTGATCCCAAACTAGGCAGAGCCTGTGCTATAGTGACCAGACTGCTGATAAACATACTTATATTTTTAAATACGTATAGATAAATTACACCCAGACACATAACAAATGATCTTGCTCGTCACACAATATTTGTCCTGGGTGGGAATCGAACCCACAACCTCCGGCTTAGCAGTCGGGGGCACTAATCACTAGACCAACAGGCCCGTCAAATGAACGAACTGACGGCACCAGCTAGTATTAAACAGAGGTCAGTTAGTTTTTCACTCTTTTTTTTTTGAATTGGAGTTTTTATCCACATGAATACGTCAACCCCATCGTGCCTTATGCTAACTACAGTCAACAAATTCTTAAATATATTAAGAGAAGAGAAAAATGTATCCTACAATTGTTTGTAGGTTAAATTTTTTCTTCTCACTCTCTCTCTCATTCACTCAACCCTACTCCATTAATTAGTTTTTTCTTTTTTATTCCTGACACCATCCATAAGCAAATGTTGTACATCCTCCATCACGTTACAGTGGTTAGTTATCACATCACATCAACCGCCTTTAACAGTCCACTGCTGGAGCCTCTCTTTAGAAAGGAGGTTTTGGCCTACTTTACCACGCTGGCCAGACGGGTTGGTATAGGGTTTGTGTCAAGTTTTCCTTCTCTCTGCAGTTTTGTTGCCCATCCACGGGATGAATAGAGGTGGTAAAACTCTGTATTCTTAATCCGCCACCACACGGATGACTGGTGGTTAGTTATACTGACTGATAATATGTACCTTTTTAAATTTACTTATGAATAAATTCGTTGCGGGTTCCAAGATAGTTTAACTTTTCCTTAGATTTCCCGAGAGTCATAATTGTGTGGTCACTGCTGTTGATTCTTGTGTATAGGAGTTACAGTAGATGGCGTGTGGGACGGATTAGTCCCATTAAAACAATCCAAGTAAGAAAAGTTAAGACAAATTATTATATAATGAGATCATTTGTTCTGTCTGTAATCGACCTGTAATATGTTATATATTTAGTAAGATATAAGTATGTTTATCGGATTGGTTAGCATAGTACAGGGTCTGTCTAGTTTACGGAGCGTCTCAACTCTTAATAATATATTTTTTATTCACAACCAAACTTTTTTAAGGTACGCTCTTGTCTTGAAATACCTTTAAGAACATGTTTATTATAATTGTTTTTAGTATAGATTACATACGTTAAACATTTAATCGGTTCAATTAAGCGTTAACTACATAAAAGTTCTGGTTTTCGGTAACCTGTTCATGAATGATTGGAATCATGAAATCTGAAAAGTTGCATCACATCTGTACATATCTGCCAACCTCGATAATGCGAGCAAATTTAAAAAACGGGTACAATATTGTTCAAAAATATTGTGACGTAAGTTTACCGGTAGTCAATTATGTGGATCGAGGTTTTTTTTAAGAAATACAGAATAGTATTATGTAAAACTTTAAAATACTAGTTTTTACCCACGGCTCCGCTTACGTGTATGTTGGTTATTGCGATAAAAAGTAGCCTATGTTACTAGCTGATAATATAGCTTTCCATTAGTAATTTTTTTTAAAATTATGTTTAGTGGTTTAGGCGTGAAAGTGTAACGAACAAACAAACTCACATTTAAAATATAAGTATGGAAGTACGGACTAAAATCACATGACAGTTACGTACTTAAGTTAATTATTAAAGTTTTTAATAAGTAACACTTAAAACTAAACTTAGTTATTATACATACACGCATCATCGCCTATATTCTCGAAGGAATAGATAGAGACAGATTAAACGAAAACATTTGGCTAACTTTAATTTAAAAACAGGAAGCCTATTGCGGTGAGCTGGTTACTTTAAGGATTTTTTGGGTATATTGACAGAAAAAGTGAAAATTTCAACTTAGAATGACAAAATATATGAACAACGCTTGTTAACATTCTGTAATCAGTCGCTTGAAGCTGGAAAGTCGGTAACAGACACGGAAAACAGTTGACAGCATTTAACGGACGTCTTAATTGGAGTGAGTTCAAATGTCGGCAATAAAAAAAAAAGATATCTGCTAAAATGCTAAAACTTGCACCTCGGAATCTTTTCTGAACTTTATCCAGAATACTCGTCTTGTTTCTGGGTGAAACGGGTCAATGCAATTAGGGGGTTTTTTGGCGTCCCCTCACCCGTCCGTCGAAATCCTATGAGAAAAGCAACTGGCAACCCATACCTGTATGGATGTCGATTTCTGCAGAAGTTCACTTCCCACACTACTTTTTAAGATCACCAGAGAACCAATATTAAACTACATAAATTCCTAATTTAATACTAAAATTATAAAGCTAAGGAATTCGTTTGTTTGGTTAAACGTGATCTCAGGAACTACTAGTTCGAATCGAAAAGTTTCTTATGTTTGATAGCCCATTTATCGAGGAAGTTTGTAGATTATATAACGCTACGACCTATAGGAACAATATCAATGAAGAATGTTGCGAAAAGGGGAAATATTTTTTTTAGACACGTAGACGAAATTGGGAGAGTCAGCTGTTGATGTTGATAGATTCATTAAATAACAGACAATGTATGCAATTAAAGCGTAAAAAAGTCCAATGATATTCCTCTTTTATCACCGTATATTTAAGGTTTAATATAAGTCAATAAAAAGTACTTCAGACGTATTAGTTTTTATTACATTTACGTAAAAAGTTTACAACTTTAGTCACGGTAACGCTTTTTATCTGAATAATTGAAGTAAGTTTTTACTTAAAAGTATCAAGGCAGGTTCGTGTAATGACGAATTAAGAATACGGAGTATCACCACACCTATTCAGACAACAGCACTGCAAAAAGAAGGAAACCTTGAAACAAACTCTACACCAACCCATCTGGCCAGCGTGGTATAGTAGACCAAAACCTCCTTTCTAAGGCGAAGCATATATATATATGTGTCCAGCAGTGGACTCCTAAAAGCAGGTTGTAGGGTAGATTCCAAGATTAAGCTACACTATTATACCCGATTTGGAGCTTTAAATGGGCGGCGGTACTCATAGCTTTTTTGTCATCTATGTTTTGGTATTTATGTAATCAAAGTTTTTTAAAAAATTGAAGTGGGGGCAAACGAGCAGGCGGGTCACCTGATAGTAAGCGACTACCGCCGCCCATGAACGCCTAAAACTCAGTAGTCACAAGCGCGTTGCCGGCCTTTTAGGAAGGAGTACGCTCTCTTCTTGAAGGTTTGAAGGTCGTATCGGTCCGGAAATACCACAGACGATAACTTGTTCCACAGATTGGTTGTGCGGGGCAAAAAGTGTTTTGAAAAGCGCACAGCAGTGGAGCGCCAATTATCCAAGTAATGGGGATGAACATTTTGCCGTGTGGAACGATGGCGAGTTACCAAGTTTTTGCAAGCCATTGGACAAAAAATCTTAAAATTATAAATGTAGTGTAAGCGTAGCTATCTTTTATATTTCTATATTTCTATTCTTCTTTTGATTTCTGGAGCCATGGTCAAATGATAAATGATAGGGATAGATTCTGGAGCCACAGATGATGACCAGATATAGAGTCCCATTTTATTTACAGATAATACAGTAATTCGATAAATTTCAGTATTTCATTCGAATTGAAATTAAAAATACAGAGTGTCACCACCCCTATTCATCCCGTGGGTGTCGTAAGAATCGACTAAGGGAGCAAACTACGCAGGACAACTGCACTGCAACGAGAAGGTCAACTTGAAACAAACCCTGTACCAAACCTGTCTGGCCAGCGTGGTGTAGTAGATCAAAACCTCCTTTCTAAGGAAAGGCCTATGTCCAGCAGTGGAATATTAAAGGCTGTTGATGTGATGATGCGATGATAGTATTTCAAACAATAGCCGTTTACGTTATAC